GGGAAGATCCCCTGGAGAAGGGAATGGCAAGCCACTCTAATATTCTGGTCTGGGAAATCCCATGGACAGAGGAGCCTGGAGGGCTGCAGACCACGGGGTCCCAAAGAGTAGGACACAACTGAGCACTCAACATAGAGCCTGCGAACTGACTATTTAATCAGATGCAGCAAGAGTTGCCTAGAAAGTTTAAGTCTCTATGGTAGGGTGAACTGATTTATGTATCTTTCTACCGCTATGTGGATGAGAGGGAAACTTTCTGTTTAGCAAAACTCTTAAAGCTTCCTTGCTTTCTTGCTGCTCCCCATCCTCCCAGGGGATTTGTCAAAATTCCCCTCTGAGGGGTCAGGCATGTAACAAGTTCTAAGCTTGGAGAAGAAAATCACAAAAGTAAGTGGAAGCACAAAAGGCAAAATGGAATCTGAAATTCCAATGCTTATAAACCTAAGCAAACACTTTCTTTTGTCCTCACAGTATTTTAGAAGACTTTAAACCATCACATTCTTTCCTCATATGTTTTTGTCAGTCACCACACAGGAGGAGGTAAGCTGTCTCAGAGAAAGCAGCTGTCCATCCTTTTGTCCACTGCTATTCTTGAGGGCCTAACTCAAATCTGGTGCACTGTAGTCACTCATTAAATATGGGTCGGCTGACTGGCTCCAATTATTTGCATGCGTGTATATATGAATATGGGCTTCCCCAGTGGCTCAGTGGTAAAGAATCGCCTACAATGCAGGAGCCACAGGAGCTGTGGGTTCAATCCATGGGTCAGGAAGATCCCCTGGAGGAGGGCATTGGCAACCCACTCCAGTATTCTCACCTGGAGAAACCCAGAGGAGCCTGGTGGGCCACAGTTCATAGCATCACAAAGACTTAGTATGCATGCATACATATATGAATATATGTATTTATGTCAATACACATACATACAGCATTCCATGGTTTATGAATAAATGTGTACGTATCCCCACACATAAGTGTACATGGTACATTTATGTATGTGTTTGTATTTGTGCAGAAGATATGTCAGACTGGAAAACACAGATACCTGTTTGCCAAAGTTGTGTCTCCTTAACACAAAAAGGCTTCTGGCTGACCTGTTTCATATTTAACAAACATAGACAAACCTCGTAGCTCACAAGGCTTCCCTCATAGCTCAGTCAGTAAAGAATCTGCCTGAAATGCAGGAGACCCTGGTTTGATTTCAGTCAGGAAGATATCTTGGAGAAGGAAATGGCAATCCAGGCATTCTTGCCTGGAGAATCCCATGGACAGAGGAGCCTGGCAGGCTACAGTCCATGGGGTCACAAGAGTCGGACATGACTTAGTGACTAACCCACCACCACATGACAAACCTAGACAGTGTATTAAGAAGTACAGACATCACTCTGCCAACAAAGGTCCATCTAGTCAAAGCTACGGTTTTTCCAGTGGTCATGTATGGATGTGAAAGCTGGACCATAAAAAAGGATGAGCGCCAAAGAATTGATGCTTTTGAACTGTGGTGCTGGAGAAGACTCTTGAGAGTCCTTGGACAGCAAGGAGATCAAACCAGTCAAATCCTAAAGGAAATCAATCCTTAATATTCATTGGAAGGACTGATGGCTGAAGCTGAAACTCCAATACTTTGGCAACCTGATAAGAAGAACTGACTCACTGGAAAAGACCCTGATGCTGGGAAAGATTGAGGGCAGGAGGAGAAGGGTACAACAGAGGATGAGATGGTTGGATGGCATCGCCAACTCAACAGACATGAATTTGAGCAAACTCCTGGAGATAGTGATGAACAGGGAGGCCTGGCGTGCTGCAGTCCATGGGGTCACAGAGTCAGACACGACTGAGAGACTGAACAACACCATTACTATCTACGTACTAACGATCCAGATGTTAAAAAATCAATTAAACATCTGGAGTAAAAACCAAAAAGGCTTAACAAACAATGATACTTTGACTATCTTTCAAAATCCTCCTCCCTGTTTATTAACTTCAGTGTAAAGTGGGGGAGGGCAGTGGCCGGTATAAGGACCAATAATGATTCTTTGCAAATCTGCCAGGTGAAACATTCCAAATTCTTCTGGCCTGGTCAAGTGTCCTTATTTAAGTTGTAACATTTACAACTCACAATTTACAATTTATAAAACTGGAATGATACTATTGACTGGTTATATGTGCCAGACACTGGGCAGTCAATGGTTTGTTTTTGTTTTTATTTATTTTTTCTTATTTAAACTTTAAACCAGCTCTGCAAGGTAGATGTTATTATCTCCATTTATTCATACTAAAACTAAAACTCAAAAAAATAGAGTAATTTGCTGAAGATACTCTGCTGTTTACCTAGTCATGGCAGTCTATGAACTCAGGATTCGACTCTGAAGCCCACTCTTTTTCAGCCCACCAGGTTCTTCTGTTCATGAGATTCTCCAGGCAAGAATACTGGAATGAGTTGCCATTCCCCTCTCCAGGGGAACTTCCCGACCCAGGGATCGAACCCAGGTCTCCTGCATTGCAGGCAGATTCTTTACTGCCTGAGTCAAGTAGCCTACATTCAGCAGTATCTCTTACACACTTTTATAAACACTAACTTCGAGGGATAAGTGTTCACACAGTTTTCACTTGTTGTTGTTCAGTCGCTAAGTCGTGTCCGACTCTGCGACCGCGTGGACTGTAGCACACCAGACTTCCCTGTCTTTCACTATCTCCCTGAGTCTGCTCAAATTCATGTGGATTTTCATAAGTAATTCTCTGCACAGAGAGACTAACCCACACGCCAGCCAAGCACAGTGAAGATCACCCCAGGCTACCGACAGCAAGAGGAAAGTGTGTCTCAGGAACAAGCCGCATGGGCTTCTCAGAAAATGAAGCATTTTCCTCTTGATGATGTCCTGCAAAAGAAATCCAGTCTCTAACAGAGCTTCATTCTTGCTCCTCCTATACAAAAAATGGGCTCATTCATTGCAAACGAATGGGAAGTTCTGAACTAATTTCCTTATATTACTTGAAATGAAAGTGCTTTTGGTCTTTAGAGCAAAGAACTGCTGCACGCTATACCCTTTGAGTAGAACAATCAATACTGTGAAGGTGAGAGAAAATGAGCTCTTATATATTTTTAAGGGGAGTGGGGTTATTTTTAAACTTAATGATAGCAGAATTCTAAAGAGAGCAAAGGAAATTCCCAGTTTAGAGAATTCCGCTGTCTTTCCCTGCAAGGATTGGCTGTTTACCTCTTTGACCTTCTTTCCAGGAGCAGGTCTGAGAAATGGAGGGAAACCATATGTTTTCAAAGTTTGTTTGTTTTCTTTTTTAATTTACAGATGTTTCTGAGCATTTGTAACAGCTGTGAAACTGTTTCATTTGGTTCTCACCTGGCCCTATAAGCCTTTGCTCCGCATAGGAAAGCACTTCTACCCCCTCCATATCCCTAGATCACAACCATCACAGGAAGAGCCAAGCGCAGCATCTTCAGCTGAAGGGACTGAAGGTGAAAGGGGCCCCTGACTGTGGGAGAAGCACCAGGGTGTCCCTTCAACATGACCAGCAGGACCGAGAAGAAAAAAAGGGAAGCAGCTCTCTGCCTCACCTCCGGTCTTCCCGCACAGCCCCTCCTGCCAAGAACTCATTTTTAGCCCCTTAACCTAAATGTCCCAGAAAGGAAGGGAAACTTCGACCTCTGAGTGATCCTCAGAGTTCTGATTTCCAAGCTGACTTTAGTTTTGTGTGTTTTCTGATTTCAACTCCCTGCCTAAAGCACATCTCCCGGTCACCAGAAGACAGAAACCGTGTAAGCCTAGCATAATTGCTTTATGTGACAAAAATTCCAGCTCTGACCCCGCAAAGGTATATGACCTTGGGGGAAATTAACTCCTCCTTCTGAAGATTTAGCTTGAGGGTGGGGGTACAATGAGGATATAATATCCATTATTAGAAAGTTGATGAAGCCCCAATAAAAATCACCCAGTCCCTGACTCTTTAGCAGACAGGGTTATCAACGAGTGCCCTGTGTTTATTACGGGCTCAGTGCACAAAGCAGCGGGGCCAGGCTGCGTGTCCATGTTTTCACCGTCCACGACTCCCTCGTTAGTGACTTCTCGAATCAACCATTCACCAAACCCCAGGAAGATGCCTGGTACCTGCTTCTAGTTCTCCACTGCTCTTAACTTCTACAGAGCCCGAGATGCATCCTCATTAAGTTCAACGGACAAAGTTAGCCTAGCTGCTTCTTCTCCTAGGTCATCGGCAAATCGGTGACTACCACTCAGGCTTGGGAAGAAAGGCGAAAAGACTTTCCATGGCCAGGGCAGGTGTCCGCACATCTCTCGGGGTTAAGGGCTGGGGAAGGGCCCCCTGACTACCGTCTCCAGGCTGGGGAACGACAAAGAAAGGGAGGAGGATAAGAAGATCGGGATGAAAGGGCCGCTGCGAGGCAGTCCTCGCCGGTGACCCTGTCCTCGGCGCCCCGGGGGAGGAAAGGACACGAGTGGGGTGGAGCCGCGAGGGCAGGAGTACCTGAAGATTCCGGCCGCCGTCCGGTTCCTCCTCCACGCAGTGCCTTGTTGCAGGACTCCCTGCACGATCTCCTTCTCGTCCGGCAGCCGATAGACAGGGAAGACGTAGAGCCAACAGAGGACCACAATGCAGAGGGCACTGGCTCCCACGGGCAGCCGGGTCCGCGGGAACTTCCACGCCAGGACGGCCATGGCCCCTCTGGATGTGTGTCGCCGGGCCCGCCCGCAAGGGCTCATCGCAGCCCCCGGGCCCCGGGGTGGGGGTTGGGGGCGAGGGCCGGAGCCTCAGCACCAGGCTAGGCGCAGCGGCAGCGGAGGGTCCCCCCACCGCCGGCCCCCCATGCACACACACCTTCCGCTTTCTTGCACGCACTGGGACGCCCGCTCCTTGGGCACCCAGGACCCCAAAGGTCAGCGCAAAGATTTTTTTTTTCCAATGCAACTTTTCCAAGGATGTCTGGCTAGGGTAAGCGACCGGGGAGCAAGTCACGAGCTACGGCCATGGTCGTTTCTCCCTGCAGAAGGCGGGCGCCGGGGTCTCCGAGAGAGCGGGGTGAAGTGGGGGGCGGCGGCGGGGTGTTGCTCCCGCCGGTTCTGCAGCATCACCGTCGCCCTCGGCGTGGGTCCGGGGAGAGGCTCAGCTCCCTCCCAGACATCTGTCCCGCGGCGTCCCTTTCCGAGCGATGCTCTTGCGCCCTTCGCCGCCTCTCCCCGCCTCCCGCGCTGCTGCGCCGCCAGCCCCCCCTCCCGCCCGCCCCACGCCTCCCCCTAGACGCGCCAAGTCCTTGGAAATTTCCACGGCGGCCGGGACCGCTAGCCCGCCCCGGGCTTCTCCTCCTGGCTTGCCAGGACCCCCGCTCCCCACCCCTCCCGGAGAAGAAAAGAACTCGCTCTCATCAGTGAATTCAGCGGCGCGCCGCAGCCTTCCGCGGCGCCCGGGACTTCGCAGACACACGCCCGGGGATTGGTGGAAATCAAGGTCTCCCCTCCTTCCCCCACCCGCAAAATTGCCTCCTTTGACCCGTTCAGATCCGCGACGCTCGGCTGGAGAGCGAACCCCCCTCTCCCGCTCTGGTCCCTCCGGAGGTAGAGGCAAACAATAAAATAAAAACAATAAATAATAACCCCCCCTCCACCCAAATGTATATATTGAAATCCCTGAGCCTGGCCAAGGCTGGCGGATAGCCTGACCCTCCGACACGCAGCCGGCTCGCCGGGGCTATCACCCCGCCGCCGTCACCCTCCGCTCTCTCTAACTGGTTGGTTATTAACCCGCAGTGAGGCGCGAGGAGGCCGGCGGAGATTGAGTCCTTGCTGGGCCCCCACCCCCATTCCCCGGTCCCGAAGCCGCGGCTCCCGCGGTCTCTGTGCGCGCGCGCAGGCGGGCACACACGCTCGCGGGCCCGCGCGCCCGCGCGCACGAGGAGGTGCTTGCACCTCGGGGTCCCCCGCCTCGCCTCCGCTCTGCGGAGAAAGGTGCCGCCGCATCCAGATGTGAGGGCGGCTGGTGGCCGAGCGAGCCGACCTCGGGACGTGACAATGCATTAGAGGCGCGGTCGCCTTCTCGCCCTATTATACGACAGGGCCGTCTGTTCCTCGACGTCTTTCTAGCTCCACCGACCAGCTTATCGCAACCCCGACCTTAGACAAGCGCCACCCGCCTGCGCCGGCGGAGTCCAGAGACCCATAGTGTCTGCTACCACTGGCGGCCGGGCGAATAGCGCGGCTACCTCCTAGCGGTTGCCTGTTCTGTTTGCTTAGGCATCGTGTCAAGCATGAAGTGTGCAGGGACAAAGAAATCCCTCAGCCTGCTAACGGGGTCGCCTTCCTCGTCAGCAGATCACAATTTAAGGCCATAGCTTCGGCTGCTCAAGCCCACTTTGGCCACCGCGTCCCGCAAATCTATAGTGACTGTTAGGTAGCCTGATGGCATCTTTATCTACTGAGAGATGGGATTTGAGAAGTTGATGGAAAGTTATTTATCAAAAATCACCACCAAAGTTTCATCCTACCTCCAAGGCCCACTGCCCTCCGCCTGCAAGCATGCCCCAGAAATCCCTCCTACTTACTTTAGGCAGATCAAGAGAGACGAAGAAGCGCGAAATACCAAAGTTACATCTTCCACAGTGGAGCCTAATCCAGAGTCTTTGAAATGTTGATTACCTGAAATCCGGCAAAGTACCCCACCAACCTTCTTCTGCTCTGGGAAGGGGATTCGGGGAACGGGGGCGGTCCAAGGGGCCAGGGAAATGTGTCCCATAGTTGCCAGACTGGATAAATCATATGCCTCCTTTGTTCCAGTGATTTAATTCGAACTCAGACTATCCCAATTTCTCTATTTTTCCCCCTAGTCCAAGGGATACTCCTATTCCAATTTAAGGGCTACAAATCAATAGGACAGCAACCACAAATATAGTTTGGTTATGAAGGGGCTGTGTGAATGTTTCCCTATTTAACATCATTTAAAAATGCAGCAAAGTTGTGCCTTAAACTGAGGGGCTTCTGTGATGCAGTGTGCTGTTTTTCCTTCTTCTGAAAACTAAGATTCTATTTCTCTACAATCCAGCTTCATTACCTGCTTCTCTGGAGCATGAACACTTGAATCTAGGCAGACCATTGCCTGTCCCCCTTCCAAGTCACACAGGCATCTCTTTTGTTACTGTGTTTTGTGGTCCATGTACTTCTCATATGGGATATCTTTTTTTCTCCCTCCATACGAATACAGTGCATCATTGAAGGCCAATCTAAGTCGCTAGGGATTTCTCCCTCTATGTGTTCCCAGATCACCTAAAACACAGACTTCGTGAGTAGGAACTCATTCAACATTTCTGATTTCTGCTTCTATTCCCTTTGACCTCCTGATCTGAATGTCTGTAGCATTGCCTGTCTCTGACAGATGATTAAACATTTAGATGTGTCATGTTGTGTTGCTAGCATTTTTCATATGTAGCTTTGTCTCAGCAATGGGGCAGTAAGAATATTAGGTCTCATGTATCAAATGACAAGCCTATGATTTTCATCCAAAGGAGGATCAATGTCTGGGGAAGAGCAGGAACAATATTTTACTTTTTTTTTCATATTCCTCCAGGTGCCATCTCAGGCTTGAACACATACATACTCAACAATTGTTGCTTGAATAGTTTCTTGATAAATCTGAGCATCTCAAATTATTCCAGCTGTTGCTAAGGCAGCACTGTTTAAGGAAAGGTATAAACCCCCATGTTTAATGTTTTAAATAAAATATTTTACCTAATATTTAGCTCTCTGACTTATATAACTTTTAGTAGGCAGTTTAGGTGTCATTTTATAGTTCTGCATCTGAGTACACACAAGCAGGGTTTGCTCTATAAATGTCTTTTACGGGACCAGTAAACACTATGTAAACACCATGGGCAAAACTACCTGATATCAGAAGTAAACTTGATGGGCAGTACTTTTGTGACATTGGAGTTGTGAAAGCTGGTCTAAGATACATCCATCACAGAACTGAAGCCATGGAGAAGGGAGAGAAAAAGAGCTCCTCTCATTGAACAGTCAAGAGAGACCAAAATGCAGAAAGATGATCAGAGTGAATTGGTCAGGTGGAATTTACAAGTTAACTTGAACGCTAATGGTGTGTAGAGAAATATTAGTAGTCACATAGTAGTATCTCATTAAAAGATTAAAAATTCAAAAATGTCATCCTTTTTTCAGTCTCCTCTCAAGTTCTTGTCAGAATGACTTGGAATGAAGAAACAAAAGCCAAAAATATGCCCTTTTCACAACCAGTTACAATACCAAAGTAAATAGGGTTGTAATTTGAGAAAGACTCTGAATAAATGCATTTGCTTATTTTTACTCCCTCTTGTGACCCTGCTAAAAGACGGTAAAGGAATAAAAGAGGCATAAACTCAAAACAAAACAAGAGAAAAGGAAAGGATGCATAAGCACAAAAATGATGTCAAGACGTTCACAAGCAGGTAAACAGTTGAAGAGTGAGAACTATTTATCAGAACTGAGGAAACTCTGGGCCTTCAGGTGATATTGTGGGGGGGGGGGGGCGGCGGGGCACACAAGATGGAGCAGTATAGATTGAAGCGAACAAGAGTCAAACTAATTGGCAAGATGGAGTTCTTCAAAGCTCAGAAATTAGAAGTACCTGTTACCTCTGAAGATGGAGGTAATGGATGAAAGAAAATAAGAGGTTTGTTTGGAAGTCTTTAGAAGGAAGTAATGTCTCTAGGAACAGTCGTGTCTTCTAGCCTGGCTTAACATAAGAGATCAACCTTCTATAGAGACTGGCCAACACGAAGAAGAAGACCTACAGATTGTGATATATGCAGGAGGTCTCCATCCAAATAGCCATATCCCTACCTCACACCCTGTGGTGAATCCCATCAGTAGATAAGATCAACTCACACAGACCCACTGGCTTCTTTGTTAGGCTTCAATCTTAAATAAGAGTGGGGAGTCAAGGATCTAAAAAAAATGCAAAAAAAAAATCAACCCGGAGTGGGGAAATCTCTAATAAAAACTATAATAAAATCTTAACAGGGTTAAGAGACAATCCATGAAGCAAAGGGGGGAAAAGGCATATTCAGGTGACCAGATTAAAAACATAGTAAACACACACACACACACACACACACAAAATTCATAGAAGAGTTTGAACACAAAATCGAGAAAGTCTCCCGGAAAGTAGATCAAAATGATGAAAGAGAGCAAAAAGAACAGACTCAAGCAGAAAAATAAACATCCAAAATAATAGGAATGGAAGAGAAAAAAACTAGGAGAAAATTTTCAAAGACATACTTAAAAAGTCCTAAAATTAGAGTCCATCAAGGTCTCAACATAAGGAATAAAAAAGACCCACAACAAAGGATATATGACAGATTTTAGAAAGCAAGGAAGAAAAAATTGTGAAAGATTTTTTTTAACACAAAAGACTGGATATAATGATGGCATTAGATTTATCAAAAACAGCATTGGAAACCAGAAGGAAATGGGGTTAGGCCATCAAAATTCTTAAGGAATTTTTTTATAGCCTCAAGTAGAGTCAACATATGACTCAGATCTGAAGGTAGAATCTGCAATTTTCAAATGCAGATTTCAAATTTTCAAAAGTCTTAAAATTTTACTCCTGGGCACTCTTTCCTGGGAAGATACTGGAAAGAGTCCACTAAAATAAGTCTACCAAGAAAAAAATGAATTAGGGATTCAGAAATCCAAGGTTCTCATACAAGCAGGGAGCAAAGGGAATTCCTAGAGAAATAGCCTCAGATCAGAGAAGAACAATTAATAACTTCTGGGTTTAGCTCAAAAGTAACTTGGAAGCTGTAACTCCCATCCTTCCCAGAAAGATGAACAAGCTGTAAATCAACTTCTCCTGCACCATCAGAAAACTGAGGTCACAAGGAAAACCACCAGCCTGGAGACACAGGCAGATCCAAAACCAGAGCTGAGATCTGTTTATTTGAAGTAGATGTGGAGCCAAAAATGGGTAGGAACAAAGCATCATAACTTGGAGTTGGTAAAGATGGAATTTCTGGAAGTTGAATGTGGACTAGCAAGAGTCAAAAACTCCTAGGAGTAATAATGAGGTGGGTCCCTATTTTATAAATTTAAACTCCAGGAATCCCACCAGGCTCTCAGGGTGAAAAACTGAGAAAGATCCTTTTAAGGCTCTGGTAGGGGTAGAGAAGAGTGACCATTGTAAAATATGCTCAGAAGGTTCTTGATAGCAAAGTTCTATCATATCTGTATCCCATCTAGAGGAAGAGCACTTCTCCCATTTTAACCCACAGGCATCTTCCTGCCTCAGTTAAGCTGAGAAAACAAAACCATGTAACATTTGTGAAGTTCACAGCCCAGGGACACAGGTCTTTGATCATAATATCATGGAACCTTTGCCCTCTTCCATACCTTGTGCTGTGCTGTGCTTATTTGCTAAGGCATGTCCGACTCTTTGCGACCCCATGGGCTGTAACCCACCAGGCTCCTCTGTCCATGGGGATCCCCCTGGCAAGAATACTGGAGTGGGTTGAGATGCCCTCCTCCAGGGGATCTTCCCAATCCAGGGATCAAACCCAGGTCTCCTGCACTCCAGGCAGATTCTTTACCATCTGTGCCACCAGGGAAGCCCAAGAATACTGAGGTAGGTAGCCTATCCCTTCTCCAGGAGATCTTCCCGACCCAGGAATTGAACAGCGGGCTCCTGCACTGTAGGTGGATTCTTTACCAGCCGAGCTACCAGGGAAGCCCCTTCTACCCCTTACCACCAGACTGATAAGTTTCTAAGCAGCGGATATACCTGCAAAGTTACAAGATGCAAATTCTCTCTGAGGAAAGCACTTAGGGGAAGCCCCAAGTCAATAGATGCATTAAAACAAGTGATGTTAGAGCAATTTGAAGCCTATGGCACTTTGGAACTACTACAGACTTTAAACATGGACAAAAATTCAGCCAAATTATCACAAAACTTTACACTGAAGGTCTAATTACATCTGTTCTTATTACTCAATACATCATGCCTGGCTTTCAACAAAAAATAATAAGGCAAGACAATTATACATTATATATTTCAAGACAAGAAAAGAAAAAAGAACATGAAAAACAAAGCAAGCATCAGAACCAGAGCCAGCAAAGAACATATGACCCAAGTGTAGGA